ATACACACATATATATATATATATACACATATATATATATATATATACACATACATATACACATATATATATATACACATATATATATATATACACATATATATATATACACATATATATATATACACATACACATACACATACACATACACATATACATATATATATATATATATTTATACACATGTATACATGCATACACACAACTTCAAAATAACATAAATTCTCAACCTGTACTGAAAACAGTTTCTGCGTCTCAGCGCCACCAGCTGGTGAGAGGCCGTGATGTCAATTTGAACCCCGCCCACTGGAACCGGTACTGAAAGCATAATGGAAACACAACCTGTACCATACCGAGTAGAGTAGAGCCGGGCTGTACCGGCCCGTACCGGTACTAATGGAAAAGGGGCATATCAGAGCAACCTGGGCTCTCATGAGACCTGGGCAGTGCCACAGACTGATCGACTCCATGCCACACTGCATTGCTGCAGTAATCCGGGCAAAAGGAGACCCAACTAAGTATTGAGTGCTGTACATGCTCATACTTTTCATGTTCATACTTTTCAGTTGGCCAACATTTCTAAAAATAATTTTTTTAATTGGTTTTAAGTAATATTCTAATTTTCTGAGATACTGAATTTGGGATTTTCATTAGTTGTCAGTTATAATCATCAACATTCAAAGAAATAAACATTTGAAATATATCAGTCTGTGTGTAATGAATGAATATAATATACAAGTTTCACTTATTGAATGGAATTACTGAAATTAATGAACTTTTTCATGATATTCTAATTTTATGACCAGCACCTGTAAATATTGGGCATTTTAGGGGAAAAAAAAAATCTTCAAATTTGTCACTATTTGATTTTTCTTCAGATGTTTGATTTACAGTGTTGGGATGCACATATTCTGAAAATAAAGTTGAGCTCTCCTATGACCATAATGTCCACTTCCTAATCCTTTCAAAATAAAATGCAATGGCAGAAACAGCTTTTATTTTTTGGTCGGTGGAGTGGGAATTACTCAATGTCATAAACGGGTCACTGACTGGACAGAAAACTAACTGGGCGTGTCATTACTAGGTGCCACTGCCAGCATATAAAGAAGGCATTATCTAGACTTTGAACATAGAAAAATCACTGCCCACCCCTAGTAAATTTTAGTACTCTTATGTATTCCTTAAGAATTAATTCATCCTGAATTTTGACAACTGGTAATAATTAAGACAAGTGGTTCCCAAAGTTTGGGTTGGGATTTCATTGTTAGTCATGAAATATAGGGTCTTAAAATGATTTCCAGAAATTATCTGTCTTTCAAAATGTCTGAAGTTACAAAAGAGTGTGGTTAGTGTAGTAATAAATGGATAAAAAAAAAAAAATCTAATGATTGTTGTCATTATGGTCTTGTTTAATTGACCTAGCCACAGTCCCTTAACTGGATACTTTGAGGGTTGTAAGTCTCTGCTGCTGTTATCGGTCAAAAACTGAAATGTTTGGGACTCATCATTAAACCGTTGTCGGAGTTAGAACCACGTCTGAAAGAGACGAGAAAGAGAACTGTGGTTTTATTATTTGTTACAACAACTTGCCATACCTGGGTCACCACATCAGGACCATCCACTGAGTAGGTGCAAGAAATTCACATTAGGACATAAAATACTGAATATTTGTGTCTCCAAAATATATATTGCGACTAAACCAGACAAATTTTTGACCTTTTATTGGCCGATTTATTATTGTGTTAACTTCTACAAATTTTAATATAAATTAAAAGCCACTAGAATCATGCAAAAGCATGCATGTTAGGCTGCCTTCAGGCCCACGCCTCCCTTGAAAAAGAGATCTGTGATCTCAATGGGATTTGCCTGGTTAAATAAATGTTAATTAATCACAGATCACCTTAAACCAGAAGCATCCGTTCTCAGTTTGACTAATAATTTGGTGGGTAAAGGACAGAAAATTTCTGCCGCCATGTTGGAATTTTTGTTTTATTGTTCTTTTATGTGGACTCTGTTGAGAATAATGTCCAGCTGTGGTAGCACAAGATTAAAGCCCATGGGCGTAGTTATGAAACAAGACTGGAAGATTTCTTTAACAACTTTTCGTTCTTCAGGATTTAGTCTGCCCAGACTGTAAATCCAGCTTCATTGAGGAGGTAACAGAAAACTCCAGGTATAGCTCTGTTTGTATGATTACACATACCATTTTCTATGACAAAAGCAATTGTTAGAATTTAAATAACCTGCTTAAACTTTTAGTGTAGGATGTGAATGCAAACATCTGCAAGTTTTTTTTATTTTTTATAGAAAACAGTTTTGTTTTTGTTAATCAAACAATTATTAAAGATGTTAAAGTGAAGCAACATGTTGCATCTAGAAGAGTCAAAATATTAGTATCTTGGCTCGTTGATTCACATTTTTTGTCAAAATGTAAAACTTTTGAGAGCTATTTTTCATTTCACACCCCTAACAGGTGTGTGTGTGTGTAGCCTCCTGCAGAACAGCACATCGTCAGCTACAGCTCATTTATAACAAACTTGTTCTCAGAGGTATGTGGCACTAATCACATTTCAATAAGGACACCCCCCCCCCCCCCCCCCGGTCTCCCGTGTTTCTGCGTGACCGTTAATTTGTCTTCTGGTCTCGCTCCGAACGACGTCAGCTGCTGTCGCGTTTTGCGCTGCTGTCGGATCCTCTCTCCTCCAAGTCGGACTCGGAGGACTGGGAGGAGAAGGAGGAATCTGCAGGTCAGAGAGCTTTCCGTCTCCAGCATCACAAGTCAGCACTGAGGGAGGGCAGCAGGATTCATCCCCCAGCTCTGAACGAGAGCCGTCTCCCTGGTCTGAGTGTGCCGATGCACTGAAACATCCGTCTTCTGTTTATCAGGGTTTCTCTTTCATCATGATGAACTGGAAATGTTTATCTTTTGTACATTTGAAGCTGCTTTGATGAGTGAAATATACTTTGTACCCAAAACACTTCAAATCTGTTTTTTTCTTCTTCTTCTTCTCATTTTTAAGATTGTCGCAGGACTTTTTGGATGACTTGTTTCCTAACAATGAAAACCCTGATGCTACACCAACTGGACTGTAAGCATTGTCTAAATTCATCACGTCATTTGCTTTAGATTCTTTCCTGACGTGTAAATGCCTCTCTCGTCAGATCCAGCCTGCTACGGCTGCACTCAGACCCCGGGGACTATGCATGGGGTCAGGGAAGTCTCGACGCAGTCATCACAGAGGTCAGTGACAGCAGTTAGTGATCGAGAAGGGCTGACGTTGAAGTCCTGACACCCCCGTAGCTGCTGTTTATCACCAAAGCTGTCTTTACTTCATGTGACGCCTTCTCCCACTAACCCAGTTCCTTGGGACTGTTGGAGTACAACTCACCCCCGGCAACAAAGGAGATCTCATCCCTGCCAACAGTTGACGTCACTCCAGAACAGATAGGTGAGATTTCATGGCCTGCAGTGCAGCAGCTTTATCTTTTCTTAGGAGTGATTGGTTTTTTTTTTGCATGTCTTTATATGTTGCTTCTTATGAGTCAGACTTTGTTGTAATCTTAAAGCAGATTTTCAGGCTTTCTACAGGTCTCACAAAGTTAGTTTTTTGGACTTTATCTGCTTTTTTTTTAAAAAAAACAACAACCTAATTTTCTGTTCAGTACCTGATCACTTTCAAAGCAGTTGTTTATTTCTTTGTTAAGACACTTAACTCTGACCTATAAATGGTTCACGCATAACAAATCGTAAACCTTAAGGAATGAACCACTGAGCAACGAATCCCTTTTAAATTGGATCTTTAAGCGCTTTGTTACCAGCAACTTGTTTTAAAGACGCAGTTCGTTCACATTTGTTGTTGTTAAATCTATGAAAAATGCCCAAATGAACCCAGTTTAACACTTAAAATAGTGTTTCAGCACCAACAAGAGATTTTTCTGAGCTATTAGCTAAAAACTTGACATACAGTAGGTCAGGGCTATTCAACTAAATTGATCAGGAGGCCACAATTACTGAAAGCCAAGAGCTCAGGGGCCAGACATCCAGAAGTTATTAAGCTCCTCCCAGATGACTGAGCTCCTCACCCTCTCTAAGGCTGAGCCCAGACACCACATGAAGGAAGCTCGTTTCATCTTATTGTAGCCAGGATCTCGTTCTTTGCATCGTGATCCAAACCTCATGGCCGCATGTGAGGGATGGAACACAGAGACACCAGTAAATGGAGAGCTTTGCCTTTTGAAGCAACTCTTTCTTCACCACTACTGACCGAAGCAACGCCCTCATACTGAGGACGAGGCCCTGATCCGTCGGTCCACCTCCCGCTCCATCCTCACGTCACTCATGAACAAGACATTCTCTCTTTCGCTCTCGACGAAGACGGTTGCTACCACCCTCCCTCCTGCTTTTTTAACTCTCTTGTCCTGTCAACCTCCTCAGAGCCTCTCTTTACACATCTTCCAAATAAAAAAATATTATGGATTCGGTCAGCAATTTGGACGCAATTGATAAAAAAAATTTCCACCAGACGACAGGGTGCTGGAGAGCCCTCATGCCCTGAATGGACCCACGCAGCTGTGTATGTCATGGATTCCTGGGGGGAGTGGAAGATGATGTGCCTATCTGTGTTGTTCGTGGAGGATGTATGTGTACATTACTGGATTTATGATAACAGGGTTTCTGCTTTTTGGAATCGGCGGATACCTAGGATATTGACAAATTAGGAAGACGTCGACAGCAGTTTCAGCCGTGGTAAAGCTGCCAGCCTTATGTGAAGGATTAATTTGTGCCTCGAGCTCTCAGACTCAAATGCTTAATGAGCTCAACTGCAAGCTGGACGTGATTTCTGAGAATCGTAGGCCATTTGCGGCTCCTGGAACTCGCCGGCATGAAGGATTCGACCTCGGAGAAAGCTAACAAGCACCGACCGGGCGGAATGTTCACAAATCTGCCTGTTTGGATTCACCATCGAGTGTACCAGCAGAACAGAAGGCAGACAGAAATCAGAGTCTGGCGGCCCAAACAATTGTTGTTTATCTGAATTTGGCCTCCCCACTGGCCTCAGACAGGTCAGCTTATCTCAAATTGCTCCTGGAGGATACATAAACTAGAACCCCCCTCCTGAGGACATCTGTGGCCTTATCAGAACCATGATGCTGATAGACACTGTACCATCTTATCAGAACTTTGGAATGTCTATGGACATCTCGCTGCCTTCGTTGACTTCTATGTATAAATGTATTATGATGTCATTGTCTGTTGCAGCTTTATGTTGCGATGTCTTTTTTTTTTTTCATCTTTTACACTGCGTTCTGGCCAGGACATGGTGTGAGATATGATTTATTTTTTGGCTTCCTCCACCCTCGTTTTCTCTTTTTCTCATCTGCCTGTATGTTATATGTTATAGGTTTGTCTTGTAAATGAGTTTTCGAGGCTCAATGGGAACTAACCTGTATAAATAAAGGTCTATTAATAATTTAAAAAAAAGACCCCCAGATGCTTGAACTCATCCACCTGCACAATATACTGTTCTGGCAAAAGGACTGGATTGAAAACGAGTTAAAAAAAACTAAGAAAAACCTTAAAATATTTTCAAATAACTAGGGTTTATCCATCTAGACCACTTTAAAGAGGGGTGGTTTAAAAGTTTTATGCAGTTCTGAATGTTTTTTACTCCTAACTTTCTGCTTCCCTTCATCTTTCTTCCTATATCACCTCCTCCTTCCTCTGCATGTCCTCCTTAAGATAATGCCTCTTACATTTGCATAAAATAATTATGAAACTACTAAGGAATGAAGCAAACTGTTCAAATGTGTAACAGTTTAAAATTTTTAATTCTAGGTTTGCTGTATTTTTCTGCTCAAAAGTCTTTTTTGCTCTTCTTCTCTTTCAGACAGACGTCTAGAATGTCCTGTCTGCATGGAGGAGTTTTCTTTAAAGGATGAGGACGTTCTGCGGTCTTTAAAGTTCTGTTAAAATTATTAGGAGGATTTCTTGGTAATTCTCATCTGGATGCAGAATTCTTCTGCAACCAGGAGGGAAAAATGCTCTTTTGGCTATATTTTTGCACGCATCACAGATCCTCTTTCCTCTCGCAGAATGATTCTTGCCCCGTGTGCTGCAGAAGTCTCAATGGCGTTGACAACAGCCTCCCACTCACGCCGGTGCCCCCCAGAAGAGAGCTCTGCTCTCTCACGTCAGTTCCGCTGCTTCTAAATAAAACGCACAAATCGCAGTGTGCAGCTTCAGCGCTCATGCCATTCTCACGTTTCTGCGACGGACGTTTGCAACTCTAACATAACTGTTTTTTTATGCCACACCGTTTCCAGAGGATCCAGCAGTTTTTTGCATTTACCTTTTACTAACATAAAGCTACCTGTGGTTTTATTTTGTTTAATAATGTAATTATCAATGACAGATAACCATTTTGGTGAACATGACAGTGATATTTTACTGTCAGAGCATATTTAAGCTATTTATTTTGTCTGATTAGTGCTTTCACAACTAGAAATCCTCAAATCTTATCCACAAAAAGCCTCAACTGACTGAATGGTATAAGAGAATATTATTCAGTAATATTGTTTAAAGAAAGCAATATTTTTTTTATGTCAGGGGAATTTAGATAAAGATTATGGATATTTATTAGTAACTAATGTTAAACTAATGTGTGTGAGTTAGAGTTGCTTGTGTGTCTGCAGGAGCGCAGAGTCTGCACACCTGATAAACTCCAAGGCCTCTTTCGTTGTCTGTAAGCTGGAAAGCAGAGGTCGTATTGACCTCATCTGTCTGATAAGCATTATGAAAATTACTTATTTATACTGTCCGTGGGCTGACCTCATGGCCAGAGCTTCAGTGTAACATCTGTGTAGGCCTGTTTTGACTCTGTCCCCTTGTAAGTAAAACTGGGTTGAAAAGATATTCTCGTATCCTCAGTTTGACTTATTTGAGTAATGAGTAGGCCTGTCACAATAACTGGGTGATTATTTCTCAGAAATTATTGCGATAAATTTAATATTGTTTGAAATTTGACAATAAGTAATAATTATTGTCAAATTTCAGAAGAAATGTTTAATTTGTTTTGCGTGTAGTACCTTTTTGCGACCCCCGGATGGCAGTATAAGACTGTTTGAATCAAAGGATAGATAGTAAGGGAGTGAGCAGCATGTCTCTTTAAGAAAAATGGGAGAGGCCCCTTGACGTAACATGGGTTGTGTCTCTTCGGTTTTCAAAATGGCGGATGCTCGGTGTGGTTTGAGCTCTTTAGCATAGCATTTTTCACACAAAGCTTTTAATTAAAAAAAAAAATCAGTAAACAAGTTCTCAGCTTCGTTTTGCAGAGAAAAACTTTTACACGAAGGCACCGGTTTCAATCATGAATTTTGGAGCTTTGACAAGGCGGAGGTTTTTTTCCCTGAGGTCGGCCTGTTAGCTTACCTTCTCAGCTTAGCTGTTTAACAATCCAAAATGCAATTTTGGACAGGTAAAATGTGTAAAGAGAAAGGATGGGGTCAGTGAAGAGCACCAGAGTTGAGCTTTTTGTCATCTAGTGTCTTCAGTAGAAAGAGAGAGACATGAAGACACGATAAAGCCGATAAATGAAAGTGAGGTCAATAATTTTCCTTTATCATGCAATTAATTGATTTATTGTTTTATTGTGAAAGGCCTATAGTAATGAGATGATGAAAGGATAATTCATTTAAACAACATTTTTGGTCCTTCGAGCCGGATACAAACCAGCGACCTAAGGACCAAAATTGTTGGATAAATTAAGCAAATTGTGCCTGACATGTTGTCAGTTATCAGCAATTTAGAGAATCTGGACATTTTAGGTCATTTTTATTTAACCAACGCATATAAATATTTACTGGTTTGAGATCACAATTTTTTTTTTTTATCTTCAAGGGAAATAAAACGCATATATTATTCAAGTGTGGCTGTTACGAATTAAATTATGAGGCAAACACAAAATGCTGCTCTACTTTGTGTTTTTGCAGAAAACTGGAAATGTGAAACTTTAATTTTAAAATGTAAAGGTACTGAAACAAACTCTTTCAGGTAAAACTAGTTAAAGTTATGAACAAATCTTTCAACTATTAAATAAACTGCCTCTTGAAAGAAGAAACTTTATTTTGAGAAAAGACTTTGCACGAAGAGTTGGTCATGTAGGGACTTATACTTTGCAAAAGTATTAAACCACTCCTTATTTCTGATGTAATTGTAATTTTTTTAAAGGTTTTCTTTGGACTTTTGGTTATTTTCTCACATACTTTCACTTTAGTCCACATCCTTGACCATGACAGCAGCTTTATAAATGTGAGAATGACCAGGTGGAAACCAATAGAAGCGTCGAATCTGTCTGCAACAGATGAACGATGTTTGAAAGTTGTCTTTACAAAAGCAAAGACACAGGAGCTGAGAGACGCCTCATCCTTTAGCTGTAAGTCAAGTTTTCAGCTCTTTGAGAATCAGCTTGTTGGTTCTGTACATGTCATTTTGAGTTAATTTTTATATTTTTCATCGATTCAATTACAAAAATGGGAACAGGTTGTGAGAGGCTGCAGGTAAAAATGATTTTTGTGCAGCCCGCAACTCTATTTTTTTGTATAATTTTGACCCCTAAAGCCTAGATGTTGATTCAGATGGACACTTTTTAACACATTTATTGGTGATATCTTTTTAACATTTTTAGGTTTAGCAGAAAATCAGATGTAAAATGTTTTTAATTAAAATGTACTAGGCTATGTTGAATAAGTTTTTGTTTTTAATTAACCACGTTAGTCGTTTTTATTGCAATTTCATGGCCAAAAGGATCACAAACCGTTACTAACTTTTACCAAAATGTACCTTTTTGGATAATTCATAAAATGTGGCTTAATATCAGTAGTGCTTTCAAAGAAAAAGTTCCTATTGATTTACTTATTGACCGAAGGTAAACTGGACTTTGTTGACAGAATACGGATTGGGCATAATTCAATCACCTTTATTAGTGTCGATTCCAACTTTCTCATGTGGTGTTTCAAACTGGGACCTGACATTAATTTTCACTTTATGAGGCAAACACAACCTCAACTTAGCAACTGTTTCTTAAGAAAAGTGACTCATGCCTTGTTCCAGAGAACTGACTAAAATTTACTTAGAACAAAGAAACTGCATTATTTTCTCTTAATAAGATAACTTTTACTGGTGAGCCTTTTAATATTTTGTACAACAAATTCAACTTTTTTCCACACCTAAATTTGAATATTTTCGTCTTTTCACTATAATATTGTGTGTTTACATTGTTGAGAGTTCAAAAATGAAAAAAATGAAAAAAACAATGTTTTTTAACATAAAATTAAAATTGTAGCTTAACTCCTTCCAACTTCACAACTTTGACCCTTTTGTAAAAAAGTGTGAACACCATTGTCCTTAAGATGCTGCAGGTTATTGCCATTTAAAAAAAAAACTGTAAACAAATTGCATTAAACAAGTAACTCTTGATAGAACTGTAAATATATTTTTTTAAACTCATGCAATTTGACCTGCATATACTTATTTTTCTATTTTATTAGTTCTTATGTAACTTTGCCTAAAAAAAAAACAATTTATAGTCCATTGTCATGCTTATTTCTGTGTGTTTCCAACATGTTTAAGTGTGGCAGAGTAAACAACAATGGTTTATTAATAGGCTGAGCTCCACTGCCTCTGTTATGTTGACGCAAACAGGAACCGACTGAGAGGCTGACAGTTGACTGTTCCTCGCCGCCTAACACACCCTGAAGTCGGCCTTCGGGGAAAGCTGCTCACAGAAACCGAAAATAGCGAAATAAGAAGGCAGAGGCATCTTTTGTCATTGACGGAGGACCACAGGAACCGCGACGTTTCCACTCTCCTCATCGCCCTCCTAGTTCCAGAACACCTGTATGGCAAGCCAAATTATCATATATTAGACGAGCTCTTCAGTGCGGATATCTAGTTGCGTCTTTTTTTATTGAAATGGACTTTTCACTTCTTTGTCTCAGAACTGTTCACAAATACACATTACAAACTGCACAAGTATGTGCTACGCATACAAATTGTCAAAAACTCATAAATCGCAGGCTGTGCGTGGATCTTCTTGTCTGTGCATGTTACTTTTGAGACTCTTCGCTCCAGATTTACAAATCTAATGTGAGCAAGGCCGAAGAAAAGCTGGGACATCTGCAGCCAGCTATCGGACACAAATGTCTACACACGCTTCAGAAAGTCTCTTACTCTGAAAAGAAACTGATTTAAGGCAGATTTATAGTCCAAAATTTCCTGATGTGACATACGCTGCAGAGTTTACCAGGACTTCTCTCTACAGTTCCTCTTGAAAGTATAAAATGTTCATGCGACAAAAGAACACAGCACATCAGCAAGGTCAAATGTCGTACATTTTCTCAAGTGTGTAGCAGCCTTAGAAGCTGAGAGTCGACAGAAGTACGTTCTTGGAGAGGAGATTGAGTGCGGGAGAGTATTAAAGCAAAACTCATTTGTAAATGAGTTGTGCCAAAATATTCCAAGTTTTTTTGTTGGGGATTTTTGGTCAAGATTTATGGATGTTTTTAACTACCATGGCTGAGAATGTTAACTGCCCATGAACCATGTGTTGGAGTTAGCGGAGAGTTCTTTTCTCTCTCTGAGCTGAAGGAGGTGATTTAATATAATACTGCATGCACAGCAGTCTGTCTGTGAGCTGTGAGAGCTGATAAGCATATAAAACCAAGCCTCGCACTCTGCTCCTGGCAGATTCTCATGGCTGGGCTCCATGTTTCTGTATATCAGTGTGACCTGTCGTGAACATTTGTACTTGAAATTATAACCAGTTAAAAATCTTCTCCTGTCATCAAGCGTGGCTTCTTTGAGCAAGTAAGCTATATGATTTTTTTAATCCAGCATTTTTGAATACCAAATTTAGTTTTAAACAAATGTGAGAAATATTTGCTCTTTTCTAACGCAAAAAACAAAACAAAAAACTGATGGTTTGTGCTACATTAACCACCAAAACAATCATATATAAACTACATTTTGACAGCTGGCTTTAAATAATGATGAGTCATTTTGTTTGTGCTTGGAATATGTGTCAACAGCTGTATGACTGTCAGCTTCTACCATACTAAATATTAACTCCTAATCTGTAAAATAAACTAGTAATTAAATTAGTACAGCAATTTGTGTGTACTCTATTTCTAAGCTGTGATGGCACTTGTAAATGTAGAGTAGTCCCTTGTTTATCGTGGGGGATCCGTACCATGAAGACCCCGCTATAAATGAAAAATCACGAAGTAGGAATAGTAGGAGTTATATATATATATATATATATATATACATAAGGCATTTTAAACCCTTCCCACACTCTTACAATATTCTAAACAATGTTTCTAAACTCTGAACTAAATACCTACATGTGTCCAGTTTTCACTACTTTTTGTCTGTCTAAACAGATCTCACTTGTAAATGAGTCTTCTAGGCTCATTGTGACTTATCTGTCTAAATAAAGGTTGAATGAAAAAAAAACCACAACTCTAAACGCTCTAAAAGAGCACAGAATGTCTGATTTCAGCTCCCTGCCTCTGCTGCTCTTCGCCATCTGCAAGCGCTCTTGGCCACGCCCACTTCTCCGCTCTGCATGGTGAACAGCCGATCAGCTGCAGGATGAAGTTTATCCTGCAGTGTGGGCTGCACAAAGGTGCAGGAGGTGCTAAATAATTTATTTTAAATAAAAATTCCATGCCCATCATGCAGCTCATCCCTCAGATTGTGTGTTGTGTCCAATATTATTTTGAAAAACCGCGATAGAGCGAGTCCGCGATTAGAACCGCCAAGTAACAAGACTACTGTACATCTACTTAATATTTGCCGAGAGCTTTATTAAAACCCATACATTAATTCTTGAGATATTTTGCTAACAGATTAAGCATAGACTGTCTGGCATCAGATGTTTCTGGTTCCCCAGAAACAATAAATAAATCATTGTAGATGTCTTATAAAGTATTATAAAAGTATCACCACTTTTGATGCGTGAGGCAGCCATATTGGATTTTTTTGAAGTCGGAACCAATGAGAAACTTTCAACTTTCCAGGTTTGAATAACGATTTGAGCGAATGATGATTTTACTCACTCAGAACTTTAAGAATTTCCAACTTTCCTACTTGAAACTTGAACGCACCAATATTGACACCCAGATATGAGTGGTTTGATTATATGCACGAACGGTCTGCCTTACCACATCCACTGTGGGACGAGAATGCCCGTGTTGTACAGAGACAGCGATACGGGCTGAGCAGACATGGAGGCCGGATTATCGAGAGAGGCCCGCGCTGACACATCCAGGCCAAGCTAACGGCGAGTCGTTGTGGATTTTAGAGCATCTCTGGAGATATTACGGATACCAGTCGCCGAAAGAGAAAATGGTTTAAACCGCAAGGTAGAAGAAATACAGGGAGATCCATTTCAGGTCTCTGTTGATTCAACGCAGCCGCCATTTTGTTGACAGTGTTATTTTTAATAACCTACACCGCGCTGCATCTCTTACTTTCTATCACGGCGTTATAAATCGCCGCGTAGTTTTCTTTGAAATTTCGTGTTTTTATATGGATGTAAATGCGGGTTTGTGTTTGTGAAACAGCGTCGGAGTAAAAAAAACAAACCAAAACAACAAAAATCTGCTTTTAGCCCCTGCATCGTTAGCCGTTGTAGCTGAGATGTAGTAACACGAGTGTCAACGAGCGAATGTGACGGATCTCTTATTTCGAGTTGTGACATCTCCTTTCGATTATGCAGTTTTTGAAAAGCTGCAGGCGTTTTACTATTAACTCACCCCCAAAACGTGCACGTTCGTGCTTTTAAATGAGCCTATTTATGCTTCTCCCTGTGCTATTCATGCGTAATTACGTTGCACGAGCTGTCTTTTTAAATTAGCTAGCAGGTTGTTAGAAAATAAACAAAACTCTTAATGTGTTGGGGTCAGGGTGCCAAGACAGCCAGGTAATATTTTCAGTGTTGCTGTTTTTGTTTTAACTCTGGGATTGAGGTTTGACCGTGTTTTGTTTTGGTCTTCCAGCAGTTGGAGGATTAAAAGATGAAAATGTGGCCACCACGTTGATACACATGGAGAACAGGACACATAGCCGAACAATGTGAACACCGTTTTCTGGACTATTTCACAGGTGAGTGTTGTAAATAAAACGCATCTTTTAGATTTGACCAGATTTTAATGTTTATGCACGATTGAATCGGCTTCCCTGTTGGGTGAAATGAAGAGTTTATGTGGGTTTTCTCAAGATAAAGACAGTTATTATCAGTATGAGTAAACAGTGGGTAGCTGCTTTGACAATTGAAGGTGATAGAGGAGATGCTCCCATGAGAGCTGCTGTTGACTGTGCAGGAAAGCAAATGCAGATTAAACTAATTTGACTTATTTGCTGCTCAGTCAGCCCCCTGTTTCTTATTGCATAAGAGAAGGGAGAGAAAGTACTTTAAAAAAAAAATGGTCGAACAGTTATGTTTTCAGTTTATGAAGCTGTAATGAACTGTGCTGCTGCAGAGCTGCGTCCTGATTGACAGCTGTCACTTCTTTCCATTTATATTCTGGCCTGATCAAAGGGTTCCCAACATCTCAGCCACTTTCTAATCTATAGGTTAGTCTGTTGCAGGTGTAAAGCACTCGGGTTAGTGAAGGATAGAGAACAGAAGTGGCAGTGGAGGAATTTTAATTGTGGCGTAAAAGCCCCGAAAATGACAGGGAGCTCTCGGGGCAGCCCTCGTGTGAATGATCTGGAGGGGAGGTGGGGGTGGAATAGTATTGCCGTGGCCAGAGGGAAATCAGCAGTTATGAACAACGTGTGCAAAAGCGAGACAGGAGGGAGTGAGGGTGGGAGTAAGAAACGAGTAGGAAAGAAATGGGAGGGGGCCCGGGAAGTTGTTTACTACGTTCCTCCATGCTCTGCCCTTTTTTCCTGGTTGTTGGCCTGATACTAAGACTTTTCTGGTATTTATAGTATGCTTTAAAGTCTGCTCTCGTTTTATATTAACGTACTTTCATTCTCAAGCGTTTCTCGGAAGGATAAAAAGCGTCATTAGGGTGACTAATTTCAGTCCTGAAAACCAGTAGTGTTGTTATTGCGGTACGACTGGTAATGACTGTACATTTTTGTTGTCCTTGTAGTTTTGCCTATAGAAAAGTACCTTAAAGCCAAACTTGATGCGCGTTAATGTTGAGGATTATTAATCTGGAAGACAGCCTAAAAAAAGCACCAGCGGCCGACTTACAAAGAAGCGTTTCGACTCTCTGTCACACCGTGCGTCGGTTGGGCACCACGGCGGCTTATTTTTGGCATAGCTGCAGTCAGGCAGCTCGTATCACCGCAAGTGTTTAGTATGAAAGAATGAAGGGAGCGTTTGTCACCGTGTGTAGGGAGGACGCAGAGAACATATTCAGTCGGGGGTGGGTGATGGGTGAAATGTGTTTTTGATTAAAGTTGGAACACGGCAGATTCAGTTTGTGTGCTGTTACCAGTGACTTCCCGGTTTGAGAAATAGAAGGGAAGAAGCAGGAAAAAAAAAAAAAAACGCTTTTAAAAACACCAAAGGAGTGCAGAGATCGATGGAGTGTAAAAGAGAAGAGGGAGGTGTGGTTTGAAGAAAGAAAACACTGAAACGTAGGCGTCAGAAAAGTTTAGGCTCGTAACCAAAAAGTTTCACTGTTTTTACGCCACGGTTCAACAGAAAAGATACTTCAGCTTTTGGAAGTCATAATCCAAAACAAACACTGTGTAAGACTTCATGTACAAAATATTCCTGTAGCTGTGGATGCTTTACTGACGTTCAGACTTGTAGGACTTTCTCGAGGCTCCATTAGATACCTCCTTTAGTGATCTCCATTAATGTAGAGTACAGGAAAACTGCTGCTTAATCACTCACTCACAGTTGCTGCTGCTGTTAGAGGCTGGGAAAGGCAGCCGGATCGTCTGCGTTGTCCCCGAGGGACATAATGTGCTGAGGTCACAGTTCTGAATTGCCTCCAAATGACTTCACAAAGAGAAAGCACCTGCTTGGGGGCGAATCCGCATTAAATCACTCAGTAGCTATAGGGAGCTGTAGACAACTTCATTGAATTGGGCTGCCCTCTATGGAGCACAATTAAGAAGCATTCTGCTGCTGTTGCTGTGCTAAGGCAGGGTATGAGCAGTTCGCCACGATCACAGTCACCAGGGTGCTTAAGCGGTTGCTCATTCAGTTAGGGCTGTGGGATTAACTATTGACTTTGGACCATGTGGGGTTTGTAAATTGCAGATGGACCAATCTGATGCCCTCAGTCTAAAAATACATTTCTCAGGTAGGAGCGCCTTGCCTCTGTAAGTGGGTCGCATGTTATTTATATAGACTGTGAGGAGAGGATGGAGTCAAAATAATTTGGAGAGGATGAACAGTTTCTAATTGAATGGCGCTCATTGTAATATCGCTCCGCCTGCACGGGAATTTAACCCAGCGTGAGCTAACCTTCGACATACGAACAAGATAGCTGTAATGGCGATACAATTCAATTGAGCTTAATTATGTATAGGCCTGACGCAATAAACAATAAATCAATTAATCGCCTGATAAATGAAAATTATCAACCTCATTTACAATTATCGGCTTTATCGTTTCTTCGTGTCTCTCTCTTTCTACTGAAGACACTGGATGACAAAAGGCTCAACTCTGGTGCTCTTCACTTACTCTTTTCTCTTTAAAATCAGCTTTAACCGTCCAAAATTGCGTTTTTGGATCGTTACAAGCAGCTGAACTGAGAAGCTAAGCTACGAGCTAAGCTAACAGGCCGACCTCGGGGGGAAAACCCTCCGTCTTGTCGAAGCTCCAAAATTCACGGTTGAATACCACTGCCTTCGTGTGAAAAGTTTTTCTCTGCAAAAAGAAGCTGAGAACTTGTTTACTGATTTTTTTTATTAAAAGCTTTGTGTGAAAAATGCTATGCTAAAGAGCTCAAACCACACCGAGCGTCTGCCATTTTGAGAACCGAAGAAAAGGAAAGAGAGACTGCCCATGTCACGTCAAGGGGCCTCCCTCCCATTTTTCTTAGAGATACGCTGCTCACTCCCTCACTATCCATCCTTCGGTTCAAACAGTCTTATACTGCCATCCAGTGGTCAAAAAAGGTACCACTCTCAAAACAAATTTACCCAAAATTTCTTCTTAAATTTGACAATAATTACTAATTATTGTCAAATTTCAAACAACATTATCGTTTATCAGAATGATTTTTGAGACAATTAATCGTCCAGCAAAATTTGTTATCGTGACAGGTCTATTTTATATAGTACCAAGTCACAACAGAAGTCATCTGAACAGAAACATTCATCATAAAAAGCAGGTTAATAACATTATTTATCTTTTAAACTGGTTCCCAAAGCTGGGGTCTGGGCGCCTCTGTGGGTCGTAGAAAAACAAATATTGGGTCCTGAGACCATCTCCAGAAGTAAAAGTAACATTTAAAGATGGCTGCTTATTGCATGTTTTTACCATAACTGACATGAAATTTCTAAAAAAAAATAATCAGAATTTATTGAAAAATATTGTAGTCGTCGTTCTGTCATCGTATCTTTATTTAATGGACTTTTTTTTTTTTGTCGTATTTGTAAATTATAACCAAAAACTAACGATTACATGTTTTTTGTGGGTCAGAAGCTGGAAAGTTTGAGAAGATCTGTAAAAAAGAAACTGTCCAGATGACCCGACTGAGAATTATTGGATTTGGTAGCTGGATGATTGAGCATGAACTTTGAGAAGCTTTAAATCACAGCAGAAATAAAAAAACGTTTCCCGTGCAGTGAAGAGTTGGAGCTGTTCAGGTGTGAGAGGGATGTTTTTAAATTTAAAAAGTAGAATTTATGGCTCACAGAGCAACAATCAAAACATTTCTGAAACTTTTTCACAGTTTCTGCAGCGTCTAAAATTTCTTTTTCTTCTGCTTCTCTCTTCTTGTTCTTTCTTAGATAGTGGAGCTCTTAGCCTTACAATGAAATTCAGTTTTTATTAAGAGTGTAATTTTTACATTACGCAGCCTATTAAACACTTTGGACAAAATTGGTTTAGTGTTAACTGATCATATCAAACCAAGACTAAACTTATGGAACCAGAAGTTGCATCATATATACATACAAAACAAAGCACAACTAGCTTTTAAGCATTACAATTTAATTTAACCATTAAGCATACAATGTAATCATGACAAAAATAAATGGAAGATTTACTTGTAGTTACCTTTGTACAGACAAACATGGTAGTTCCCATTGATCATTGTTGTAATCAGCTGCTCATGAGGTCAGCCGTCAGCCTTTATCCATCTTTTGCATTTTTTGAGTTTGTTTAGGTTTTGGGAATGGAATAAACTGTGTTCCACCCTCTAAACTATTATTACTATTAGGGATGCACAATATTGGATTTTTGGCCAATATCCGATATGCCGATATGTTAAAACTTATTTGGCCAATAACCAATACCAATATTTTTTTCCCTAGACCTACTTGCAGAGCCTACATGGCTTTCTCTGCTGTGGAATTAAAATACATTATTCTGCACGGTCTTTGTCAATTTGGCCTGCTACCAAATGCAGATGCCAAAAAATGGGGCTGAAAATGATGTAACACTTCAACTTGGATTATGTTTAATGTCAAATTTATTCATGACATTTACTCTCTTTAACACAATGGCAACACTCGAACAGTGCAAATTTGTACATTTTCACAAATCTAACCTGTTTACAAGTGAAAAGCGCATAAGTAGCAGATATACATTGGGAGCATGGCAGCTCAGTGGTTAGCACTGTTGCCTCACAGCAAGAAGGTCCTGGGTTCAATCCCCGGTTGGACCTGGTGTCTTTTTGTGTGGAGTTTGCATGTTCTTCCCGTGCATGCGTGGGTTTTCTCCGGGTACTCCGGTTTCCTCCCACAGACCAAAAACATGCATGTTTGGCTTCCTTCAGTCCCAGGCCTTCCTTGCAAAAGAGATCTGTGATCTCAGTGGGATTTGCCTGGTTAAATAAAGACATTCTTGACGGAGAGAAAGAGGTGCAGCTCCTGCAGGTAAGGGGCATTTCACTTCGGGACAAATTGAGGTCGCAGATTGGTCTGTTGCTGAAGCGCCTACTAGGTTGATTGAGAGGTCGCGTCATGTCAATTTCCTGCATCAACTTCATCATATTTCTTTATATAATGTGACATACTTCCTAGCTGTTGAACGCTGCTTAAAGTCATCTCTGTTTTGTTCATTTACTGTGTTGCAGTGACTAATTTTCTTCTACCCTATCTCTTTTCTACTTCCCTGCATTACCGTTCTCTATGTGTACAGTTGAAGGACGAAGAAAGAGGGCTGGACAGCAAAGAAAGAAGTGAAGCCGACTCCAACCAAGGAGAGCATCATTTTCACAGTTATCCCCTCTCCCCTTTTCCCCCTTCATCCCTTTCCCTTCCCCATACAATAACTACGTGGTATCCACAACACACCCCTCCCCTTTCAAACATAAGTCCACATTTCCTAAAGTTCTGATGGATCAAAAGGTTCAGGGGAGAATTACAACTCCACCTCTCTCCAGTGCTCCCACAGGAGAGCAAGAGAAGGATGGAGGGGGTGGAAAGAAAGAAGAAGAGGATGAAAAGAAGCGGGACAGAGAGAAAGAAGATGCTGCAGCTGTCCCTGCTGATGCAGGTGGGCCAGGAGTTGCCAACGATGACCAGTCTCAGTTTTCTGTCAAAGAGAGCAACCTGTCTGAGGGCAACGTCAAACTTAAGATTGGCCTTCAAGCAAAACGCACGAAGAAGCCCCCGAAGATCTTGGAAAATTATGTGTGCCGACCAGCCTTCAGGGCCACTGTGAGGCATACGGCTCGTGGAGGGGGTAGTGCTCGTGGAAGCCGTGCAGGGGCTGCAAGTGATGGCCCTCGCAGTCAGAGCCAGAGTCCCTCAAAAGGCCGGGAAAAGGAGAAGGAGAAGAATCAGAGTGTGAACAAACAGCCACCTTCATCATCTTCATCAGTTCCATCTGCTAAGGTTTCTACACCACCTCCTCCTGCTCCTCCTACCATCACCAAAACCCCATCACCCTCCCAAGTGAATGGGAGTGCTCCATCCAAAAAGGTAAGTCTCTCAGTTTTTGTATTTTGATTCAGCAGTAGATTCACACTTTGATGAAATTTATCTTTTGTTTGACTAAATTACTGCACTTTTCTTTGTCTCCGAAGTTGTTTACCTACTCTTCTTCCTAAAAAAATATATTTTCAGTCATTGCTAAGGCAGCGGGCAACAACAAAGCTGCCCTAGTAATTACTGTGTTAGCGCACAGATAAAGAGCAGGGCATAAATTGTTCTTTAGTTTTCTTTGTCTTCTCAATTGGCTCGCCTCTATTCATCACGGTTCACCCTCCAGTCTCCCTCTCTCTGTGTCGTCTGTCCTCTGTCTCTGCCTAGCTGTGTCCTCTCCACCCCCCATCCCTGCATGACCCCTCTTAGTAGCTTTCCCTCTCTGTCCCCAGTCTGACCTTGTGAAGCAACTCCTCCCTCTCTTCCTGGTTCTCAATATGCAGCAGCAGTGGACTGAAAGTAGATTTAATGAACTGTAACATATGAGCAAAAATGTGTTTTTGGGTTTAGGTTACTGGTGTGTTTGTATGTGTCTTAATACTTGGTGTAAGTTTGAATTTAAAAACTTGTTTTGTTTGTAGGAATGTAAATTATACCCCTGTAATGATATTTTTATAATATTAGGCAGTGTATTCCTAAGAAATGCACAGTCATGTCCTGCTCAGTGTATTTCTTCCATTATATGTTATAGATATAGATTCCACAGATACATTTTATTAATTGGCTATTATAATGTATGTGAATGCCTTTGTACAGTGCCCTGAGATGACTCAGCGCTATATACATAAACTGAATTAAATTAGATGTTAATCACTTACTAAATAATTATTTTCTTCAGCAGGGGCAACCAAAGACAGATTGCAAGTCAGATTCAAAGTCTGATACAAAATTGGCTACTATCACAACTGAAAGACCCCTTAATCTTCACCGTCCTCCATCAGACAGCAAATCACATTCCTCTGGAAAGAAAACACCAACTCCACAAACAAACCCACGAACAACTTCACCTCCATCACCGCTACCTGCGTCAAAAGAACCAACATTTGAGGGTGTTAAGCCTCCTCAGTACACTTGCAGCACAGATGTTCAGAAAGACAGTGACAAAGGTGTTCAGATTTGGGGAGCACCGACAGTAACTGAGAAATTAGCCCAGCTAATAGCGACCTGCCCTCCATCAAAGCTCCCTAAACCAACTAAACCAACAAAGACTGATCCTGTTCCTCCCCTCCCAAGTTCAGGATTCATGGCTCCCACAGCCAAGCAACGGGACAGGGCCATGGCCAATAGGAACACATATTCAAGAATTTTGCACCTTTCTCCTCCACCCCCTGTGTCAAGACCACCTGGTCGTCCTTACGGTTCTAGGAACAAAGACGGCGTTCCAGAAAATTCATTCTACCTGATGCAAGGAAGGAAGGAGGACTCAGAAGAGGCTGGAAAAGCTGTTTGCAGCGGCAACAACAGCATTCACATTAGTAGCAGCAACAGCAGTAGTCGCAGCAGCAGCCCTGCATTCCCCTATAATCGCCTGTCATCTATGTCAAAGGACGGCAACAGTGAAAACAGCAACAGCAGTATTTCTAAGCCACAGTCGCGCCCTGCTCAGAGCTCACTACACACCACATCACCATTTTGCCCAGTTTCATCCTCTTCCTCTATTTCAGCTGAGCAGAGAACAGTGAGTGCAGTGAGTCATCTGGGCTCGCTTGTTCCGTCACAAGGACACCATGCTCAAGAGTCCCCAGCTCTGGCAGAGGAAAGTGGTGCAGGTTTAAAGGAGCAGAACAGTGAAAGCCCCAGAGACTTGACTAAGTGCCCTCCTTCAACAGGAACAGGAAAACCAGAGGGGAAAGATAGGGTAGCAAGTAATCAGTTACTGCGTGTTGAGAGGGGGAACAGTTCTAGTCCAAGTAAGCGCAGTCCTAACAGGGATGGTAGTCAACCTAGACGAAGTACTAGCCCTCCTGAGCCTGTTAGACAGAGGGCGCCTTCTCCATTTGAGCCAGATGATGAAGAAGGTTCACAAACACCTCTTAGAGATGACTCTCCTGATTCATCTCTGGACTCAAATGATGAACAGGACAGTAAACCTTTCAAAAAGCGCAGGGGGAGTAAACCTCACTGGACTCATGTTATGAACAAAATGCAGAGTCTACAAACAGACCAAGGCAGTCTCTTCAGTGAAAACAAAAGCACCCTGCCTTTATCTACAAGCTTAGAAATACTGTCACCACCAGTTAAAAGACCTGTAGGCAGGCCACCAAACCCAAATAAGGCCAAACCAAATCCTGTGCATCAGAGTTCAATGTCACAGCTTTTTCCACCTCGACCTAACAAAAGGGGGAGGCCAAAGTCTAAAATGCCCAGACTTGACGCCCCAGCACCTGGGAACTCCTCCAATAAGCTAGCCTCCTCCAAAGTTTTTTCTTCTTTGCTAAAGTCCAAGGAAGAGCAGGACCCACCTGTTCTTCACCCAGAGGTGGACTTAAACCCCCCTAAGCCTATGCCTAGAAAACGTGGACGTCCAAAGCGCCTGCCTCCTACTTTACCCCAAGAAGGCCAGCCTCCCACATTAGCTCCTGAGGCAGGAGACATGGGAGACAAACGGTTCTGCAGTAAAGGAAATGGACAGCTTATTATGAAAACTATCATTGGCAAAATCAATAAGATGAAAAGTGTGAAACGTAAAAGATTTTTGAGTCAGATCTTTTTAGGCCCAAGAACAGAAGAAGTTCCTAAAAGCAGCACTAGTACAGTGGTGAGCCCTGGGGAAAATACAACACAGTCACTATCCTCCCTTGCTGCTTCTTTTGGGGGGAAATTAGGGCCACAAATTAATGTCAGTAAAAAAGGGACAATATACATGGGCAAAAGGAGAGGTCGTAAACCAAAATCAGTGGCTTCAATGTCATTGTCAGAACCCTTTCTGTCTCCAAATACCACTTCCCCTCTCCATCATCATCAGTCACATTCTCAGCACCAGCTCTCATCATCAGAGGTCTTTCCCTCTCCCTCCCTCTCACAATCAAGTGGAAGCCACAGTCCGATCAGTGATGCCAGCTTCGTGGAGCCTGGCTCAGTGCACTTTTCAGGTCACTCTCACTATTCTAGCTCCCATCATAGCCACAACACATTCTCCTTCCCTCCCCCAACATTTTCAGCCCCTAACAAAGTCCTAGGTTCTACGTTATCCTCAGTGGCCACAGCAGCATCCCAGAAAAAATCTTGCAGAGGATACCCTCACCACCACCATCATTACAGGCAGCATTATTATTATCATAAACTTTCTCCTCCAAGGCCACTCCATCCTACCTCCCCAGCTCCCCTCAGTGAGCTGAAAGAAGCCACTCCATCACCAGTCAGTGAGTCCCACAGTGAGGAGACAGTGCCCAGTGACAGTGGCATAGGAACAGACAATAACAGCACATCTGATCGTGGAGAGAAGGCTGGAGGGGCTGGCGGGTTGGGTGGAATTGGGATTCCAACTGGAATGGGATTATTAATGCCTGGTGTCATGGGTTCGGCAATTGCTCCAGGGATGGGACTTAATTCCAGAGGCAGACGTCGACACTCTGCTGTGCTTATGGAGCGTCCCTCACCTTCTCCATCACCCCATGGGGCAAGGTTATCGCCTGACCTTCGAAGACCACACCCAACAGCTCCTGCCTCCTCTTTACTGAGCCACAAAGAGAAACATAAGCACAAGTGTAAACGCCGCAACCATGGATGCCCGGGCTACGAGAAGCTAAAGAGACAGAAGAGGAAACGAAAGAAGAAGTATTTGCAGCTGCGGTCTCGTCGACTTGACCCGGACTTTCTTGCTGAGCTAGATGAGATAATTGTGATGCTAAGTGAAATACAGATTACACACCGTTCAGCAGGACACCGGCTCAACACTGGAATAGGCATAGCACCAGGAACAACCAGAATGCCCGGGTTGGGAAACAGACCTAGTGGTGGAATCGGAGGCCCGAGTGGTCCACCTCCTCATCACTATGTTCACAGGGACCTCCTGCCTACAATCTTCAGGGTTAATTTTGGCAGGTTTTATTCTCATCCTGCATACTCCTGCGATCCGTTGCACTATGTTCGTAAACCAGACATGAAGAAAAAGCGTGGACGACCTCCCAAACTGAGGGACTCCATGTCTGAGGTTCCATTTGTACCAGGACTGGGATTCCCACTCTCAAGTGGAGGTTTCTATCATCCTTCTTATGGAGTTCCTTACTCATCTGGGCCTCTGGGATTGGGCTATTACAGAGGCTATCCACCTGCAAGTGCCCTGTATCCTCACCCACACCACCAGTCGCCTCACACAGCTCCATCCCACCACTCTCACCACTCACCATCTTTCCCTCCACCACCCCCCACTCCTTACATGCATCATCACCACCCTTCACATCTACTACTAAACCCATCAAAATTTCACAAGAAAAAACACAAACTGCTCAGGCAGGAGTATCTAGGAGGAGGAAGATCCCCTGTCCTTTTCCCACCCATGTCCTCTGATCTTTCTTTCAACTGGCATCATAAACACAAACACAGGCACAAACACAGAGACCGCTGCTCTGAGGAAGACAGGGAGGAAGCGGCGAGGAGTGGATCGGGGAGTCGAGCTAGTGCAGGTGTTTCTGACAAAGGAGCATCCAGTAAAGGAGAGCGCATTGGTGGTTTGGGAATGACCGAGTCGTTACAAAGATGCCGCTTTGGAAGAGACGCTTCTGGTACCACTACCGGTAAGCAAGCTGCCGCCACCTCTGCAAACTCACCCTCTTCTTCTTCATCATCATCTGCAGACAGATACAAGCGCAAAGAAAGCTCCATGTCCTGTTTAGGACCTTCTCGGCTTACACTGGATAGCAGCACAAAAGGCAGTCATCCAGTTGCATCCTGGTTCAGAATGGGTAGTTCTGAAGCAGACTATTCTCAGCTTTCACGGAACCATGCGGCCCCTGGCCAGGGCTTGTTCTCAGATGGACGGGCCGGCGACCCAGCAGGCTGCTCTGACAGTGAGGATGAGGAGCCGCTTACTCCCACAGAGGATGTAGAAGCTCACGATTCTCCTAATCGCACAAATCTCTTTGCCTCGGCTCTCACCCGAACTTCACTGAAGGGCGGCAGGAACAGAAAGACGGAAATGGTCGCAGACAGTTCCAACTTCAGCCACATGGATCGGCCGGTGAGGAAGGACCACTCGACATCAGCAGAGAGGAGGGAGTTAGGTGAGTCCAATTCTGTCAGAGTAACGCTAAACCTATGTAAATGGGTTGCTTTCAACAAACTAATGCATGGAAAGCTAAACAGCTTTGTAACTTCTCTGAATATAATTGTCTTGTGTTGGCACAGCTGTGGTAACGGTGGAACAGTGTGCAGCAGTCAGTCAGAACTAGCATGAACTCTCGGCTTTTGAATTAGGACAGCATTTTTTTTAGTCACTGTCATGTGGTGCAGCAAGTGGGCACTAAAATTTTGTTTGATCTCTACCCATAGACACATGTGCCTCATGAAAACTTTTTCATTGTGGGCTGGAAGATTGTGCTGTGGTTAGTGCAGGAAGCATTCATACTTAAGTTGTGGCTACAACAAGCATTAATAAATTACAAGGTCTCCATTTGTTGCCCTCTGATCTGTCCACCCTCTGAGAGTAAAAAGAGCACAGTTATTTTATCTGTAAAAAGACACCGTTACAGCCCCTGTAGATGCAACATTAGACATTTGGTAGCTTTTACTATTGTCTACTTTCTTGGCAAAAGAAGAATGTGTGATTACTTTAACTGGATTTTCTCTGAGGTTGGAGGGCCATAATTTGCCACAGTTGATGCAGCACTTTTGTCTGAGATCACGTTACTGAAGGGGTGGAATATTTTGTTAACGTGATATTTTTAGAAGTCTCTTTCTCCTCAAAAGCCCACAATATGAGGCCCAGTTCTCTCCAGCAGTACACCCAGCACCTGGGCTGAGTTAATGTTGCTGATGTAAGGAGTGATCTGGCTTTCTCTGCATTACTTCAAATGGCTGTTGGACGGAAGTGGTGCTTTGTACTGCAACAAATGCTCAAAAGGTGTTCATGAGTGTAATCAAATGTTAACTGTATCTCAGAGTAAGTTAAGATGTTAAAAGGCTCTTGTTAAGGTAGTGTGGTGCAGTTCAAAACAAGCCACGTAATCCTGTATTTCAGTGTAGAACTTGGGGTCAACCTCCGTTCACAGGCAGGGCGGTGACACTAAAGGTCAAGGCAAGAGTCTGAGGAGTTGGCTGGCACATAAGGCACGTAATGTGTGACAGAAGCAGGTGGGGGGGGGGGGGGGGGGTCAAAGAGGGTCTAAGGATAGAGCTAGGTGGTAGCTGGACTTTCAATATTTTTTTAAATAATATGAAATCAAACAACAGTGTTGCTCACAACTAAGCCATTTCAGAGTCAGAGCTTCTGTATTTGTCATTCGCACCACATGTGGTACATGTGGTGGAACGAAAATGTGTACACAGGGTCCCAGTTACATTCAACAATAAAATGCAAAGAAAAACAGTAATACGATCTAAGATATAAACTAAGATAAAACATTAACTAAAAATACGTTATGCATTAAGAGCATAAAAACAATACGCCGAACAGCAGCATAAACATGAGTCTGTGTGAGCAGATATACGAATGAACGCAGCAACTTGAAACAGATCAGCAGCATCATGATGTGTTTTTTCACAGTGATTATCCTGGTTAGATATTCATGAGTCTAACAGTCTCAGGGTAGAAGCTGTTCCTCAGTCTAGTAGTTCAACACTTAATGCTCCATAACCTCCTTCCTGAGGGGAGCAGGGCAAAAATTGTGTGTGCTGGGTGAGTGGGGTCCTTCATGATGCAGGTGGCCCTCTTCCTGCATCTAGAGGTGTAGATGTCTGTGATGGTGTGGAGGCTGACTTCAACTCCAAAATGTCTCCATTAATCTGCATTTGTCACATTTTAAATGCTCCTCATGTGCATGTGAGAGATGAAATCACATCGTATTTTTTGTTTCATCCTGTGTAACTTCATTACATAAAGTAAGTAGAGCCTGTAATGTAAAAGCCTGTTTTCTCACATCAGCATGTCATATTGCCTTTTGTTAGCATCATGTCAGCATCTACTAAGTGTTTAATTGATGTTTTAAACATTGCAGCAGTGGATATATAACTTCCCTACGTGTTGGAGCTTACTGAGCAGTCTTTGTGAACTCCTGAGGGTTTAATTACACTTCTGTAACATCGTCTGCTGACGAAAAAAGAGCATTTTTAAAATTATCCAAGGATACTCTCTGCGTCATCACTGCTGTTTGTCAGATGAGAAGTGAAACCACCATTCAAACCTCTAAACCTCTAAATATTCTAGTTATAATAAAATATTGTTTTTGGCACAAACCCAATTATTGTAAGCTAAAAAGCATGTTCCGTTATATTAAATACTGGTGGATAATAGCAGATAAAAATGTACACACGGCACAGTTTGTCAAAGAGTAGATCATCCACTGCAGCTTAAACTCTTGTAATTATTATTCTTGATCATTTATTTGACTCAGACAAAAAAATGACAAGGCTCAATAACTTTTATTTAGCAGTGCGATCTGTCAGATTGTTGTATTCCAGTTTATTTAATTAGTTTAACATCAAACTATTCAACTGGGGCCCTTAAATGTAGTTTTTAAATTTTGAGAAAATTACCCCTTTTCTGGCTTTACACAAGGATTTATGCAAAACCGCTTCCAATATCTTACCTTAAATTGTATTTAGACTCTTTCCAACTTGAGGGGTTTCCGAACCTTAACGCAGTGGTTTCATTTATTGTCAGTCTCCCTCTCCCTTCTCAGAGGTCATCATTGTGAGCTGCATCAGAGGGTACCTTTCTATTATTATTCTGACAATAACTTGATTAAGAATTAGAAACACTGAGGAAACTATTTTTGTATCAGACTAAAAGAGAATGTGGAGAAAGGCAGAATGAGGCACAGGACACCAAAAGTGAGAGGAAAATTGTGAAACAAATTGTGTTGAAGTGATGCAGTATCTTTCATTTTGTATTAGAGAAAAGCAGAAGTGCAATAAAAATGCAATAAAGTGTAATAGGAAGTGATCCTATCAAAAACAATACTTTTGATTATGCAGGAAAGCAATAATTAACAGTTTTCTTATAATTCTCAGCTTTGTTATTTTATGATATTCATTGCTTCATTTATTTTGTTTATTTTTTTCCCAGGGTCATTAGGTATTCAGACGAGAGGTGTCCCGACCTCTGAAGGGACTGAAGGATCTTTACACCACCGGCAGCTGCACCACCACCAACCCTCGCTGTTTCACTCCCACACCTCCCCTTCCTCCTCTTGTCTTTCACCCCCTCAGGACTTTTACCTGGATTCCTCCTTGGCCCACCTCTCCCATCTTGCACAGCCCTCGAAACGCAGCCTGCATCACGTCAACAAGATTCTGCGTGCCAAGAAACTGCAGAGGCAGGCTCGCACAGGAAACAACATGGTGAAAAAGAGGGGTCCTGGACGTCCCAGGAAATATCCGCTCCCCTCCCCACCACCTTCCCCTCCCCCGGTGGCTGAACTGAATCAAGGCCGGCTCAGGGACAGTGGGGCCGAACGGCTCGTAGGACGAAGCGGTTGGGAGGGCCCTACTGCCACAAATGCTATTGAGACTGTAGTCCAGGGGCAGCGTAGAAAAGGTCCGAAGAGGAAGCACTGGGAGGGAGATGAGGATGACTATCAGGAGGGGGAGATTGAAGAAGACAAGGAGGTGGAAGAGGCTGAGGAGCAAGTGCCAGAAAAAGAGGAGAACCCTGGTAACTTGGCTGCAAGGTCCAGAACTGGGACAGGAAGGAGCTGGCCTACAGAAGAGGCGCATCAGCACTTTCAGAGGTAACTTGTATTTTATTTAACTGTTGTTCATTTTTCCCCTCAAGTGTGAGGTAAATACTCAAAAGGTTTTGAGTGCTGGTGTCTTTAGAAAGATTAATTTGATACAAGAAACTGAACCTCTGCTTTTACTTTCAGCTCAATAGAAAGAAAGCCAGATGACCAGTGTTCCTCAGAGTGCCCAGCTCCCGTCTCCAAGGAACAAGCTGCACCCTTGCCCATAAGCAACCAACGAGAGAAGAGAGCAGCCAGACCTCCGAAAAAAAAGTTTCAGAAAGCGGGACTGTACTCGGATGTGTACAAGACTGAGGAGTGAGTCACAAAGAAAACTTCAGCAGAATCTTTTGATCCTCTGGTGCTGATACGGTTGTCTGCGTCGTTGGCGAGCTGCTTCCTCACTTTGCTTTTCCTCTTCTGCAGCCCTCGCAGTCAGATTTTACAATTAAAGAAAGAGAAGCTGGAGTACGTACCTGGGGAACATGAATACGGCTTATTTCCTGCTCCAATACATGTTGGTGAGTTTTGTTTTTAAAAGTTGTGATTTTCACCAATCTCATATCTTTTTAAAAAACCTTTTATTGTGAAAGTTTTTGAAGTAGTCCTGTTCCTTTTCTTTGATGTGAATCATTGGCCTGCCTCATGAAAGTGGAAAAAAAATAAACGCCCAGAATGAAAGAATAAACGTCGGGAAAGCTTTTCAGTCAACAGCTTTATTATCCAGATATAGATTTTAGGTTACAACATATATTTATTTTAAGCTCTCATCAGAGAAATTGAGTGTCGTTAAGCTCTTGTAATGATCCAAAATAATTTAATCCTCTTAAACAATTTAAAATCTATACGCTTACCCTTAATTGTGTTTGCTTTGTGTTTACAGGGAAGTACCTGAGACAGAAACGCATAGATTTCCAGTTGCCTTATGACATCTTATGGTTGTGGAAACATGATCAGGTGATCTCTCTTTAACAGAACCGTTTGAAAGTTTTTATTTGCTTGAAGCAGAGTGTTCCTTTAGCAGTGGACTATGTGTTAGTTTCAAATAATATATTTGTGTTTTTAAACCTTTATGTTTTGCTCTTTTAGCTTCACAAGAGGCCTGATGTCCCCCTTTATAAAAAGATCAGATCAAGTGAGTTACTGGCTTTGTTCAGCTTTTTCTAGCTAATTTAATCTTTTTGTGCCACTAATGCTGTTTCAGTCCATAAGAAACCATCATATTTGGTTTTACGGTTGTTTTAAATGTTATCGTTTTTTTTGCGAAACAGGAGTTAAAGATTGTGCAGGTGGGGATGTGTCAGAAAGTGTCGATGTCAATCAGTGATCTTCTGTTCATGTACTGCAGATGTCTACGTGGACGTGAAGCCTCTCTCTGGTTATGAAACAACCACGTGCAACTGTAGGTCTCCTGAAAACTTGACTGAAAAAGGTTGCCTGGATGATTGCCTGAATAGGTAACGACGCAGAACACAAAATAAATGCAGCTTTTTATCAGGTTTCCCGTTAGAAGATGTTGGATATCAGCATTGGATTTAGTGTATTTTTCACCCCAGGAATAGAATTGTTGATTTGGTTGGTCAAAAAAAAAAAAACTTTTTATATAAAAATACCTTAAAAAAATACTCTTTTTTTCTACTTAGAATGAGCTTTGCTGAGTGCTCTCCCAGTACTTGTCCATGTAGTGATAAGTGTGACAACCAGCACATCCAGAGACACGACTGGGTCCAGTGTCTGGAGCGATTTCGTGCTGAAGGAAAGGGTTGGGGCATCCGCACCAAGGAGCCTCTTCGCTCTGGACAATTTATCATCGAATACCTGGGAGAAGTGGTGAGCGAGCAGGAGTTCAGGTGAGACACGTCATATTTTGTGTACCCGTTTTGTTCCGAAACCTCTCCGTTAATCTTCCCCTGCTTCATTTCTACCACATCTTAGGAACCGTATGATGCAGCAGTACTTCTCCCATAGTGGCCACTACTGCCTGAACCTGGATAGTGGGATGGTGATTGACAGCTACCGAATGGGCAATGAGGCACGCTTCATAAACCACAGCTGTGAGCCTAACTGTGAGATGCAGAAGTGGTGGGTGTCATAATAGCTTCAAACTAATTCCCTTCTAATGCTCCTTGGTGGTTTTGGCTTTTGACCAAAGAGGAAAAATAACTACTGGGCCAATTCCTTTCTGAACATTCCTTGAACTGTTGCCTCAAGAGGCTACAGATTTAACCAGATCTGTTGTAAACTACTATTTGTTTGGTGATCGTCAATACAGAACACTGTTTTCAATAACGCATTTTAATAATCAAAGTTGTGTAGTTTACTGTATTTCCTAAATATAGTCAGTCAGATTAAATTACCAAGCATGTTATGAGTGCAGTTTCAAAGAAGCAGATTGGAAATTGTTCTAGCTAATCACCTTTTTGCTTCCTAAATGCCTATAACAGTTAAAATTGTTAAACTGGAAAATAGGCTAGTCTATTACCCAGTTGGTTTTGCTAATTGCGTCTTTGTTTGTGTCTGATTATTCCATTTAACTTGGTTGTTTCCTGGGACTAATTGACTGCTGAGCAAATATTAGAAATACCCAGCGGTTGACATAGTACAAGTATATTTGAATAAATAAGCTAAGACAATACCACTCAGGAAAAGAACATTCTTCTACACCATACTGATGAGTCGGTGAACTTTTTAATGATTTTTATGATTTTATTGTCACTTCAGGTACATTATTATTTTTCCTTTAATGTAGGCTTGTTATATTCTTTTAAAAGCATTATAAATTAAAACATAAATAAGTAAACACAGTGGAAACAAAACAATTGTTTTTCTTCATATCCTCATGCATGCTCAATAATCCAGGTAGAAAAATAAAAAAAAGTTCAATCTGGTCCTCTGGACATTCAAAAAAAACAAAGCAAAAAAATGTAGATACGTTTCGTCTCTCATCCGAAAGATTTCCTCAGTCTGAGGTGTCCAATTGTTTTTCTTGTTTGTCTCTAAAAGTGTAGCAGGTTCACTTCACTGGAACTGAGGAGGCTCTACCTTGAAACCCCTACCATGTTAATGCGTTGGTGTTGTGGTAATCTGATGAAGTCGCCTCACTTCTTGCCTGTTCTCACAGAGCTAAATGGCTTAAAGTCACTTGAACTTTACCAAAACGGTCCACTGGTTTTCCAGGGGGTTGCTCACGCAGCGTGGCTGAATTAACAGCAGTTGGGAACTCGTCTGAGCAGAGCTTCCACCATTTTACTCTGAGAGGATTTAACGTGTGAGCCAATGACCTCCAACAAAGACCAGCTCATAATCTAGGGCATCAGCCTGTGTATGGGTGTATGTACTGTAAAATGACTCAGATTTAAAATAAATGTTAACATAAATAAAAACCTATTTGGGAATGGTGGATTTCCAGTGCAAAGCCTGATGAGTCATTCATCTTGTCACAGAAGAGAGATTATACGCGCCCCAGCCTTAGATGCAGTGAAACAATGTGCTGAGCCAGCTTTTTACCCCTCTACAAGGAATAAATTACCAAGCCACCGACAAACAGAACAGTCTGCTTTATTCTTTGAAGGACAGCGAAAAGCTGAGACACTGATACGTTTATAAAATAAACAAAAAAAGTCTAAAATGTATTTTAATTTTAGTGTTTTGTTTTAAAAACTTTCAAGCTAATCCTCAAAAGAACCAATGACCTCTTAACAGGTTAACATCTACCATCAACTCCATGCAGGGAATAATTCAAATGTCCTTTCAAAAGATTTAGGTTCCCTTTAACTTAAATTGTGCACGTTTTGTATGCGATTACTGGTTTGCTTTGATTGAAAATATTGAAATAATTTAACTTCTGCCTTGCAGGTCAGTGAATGGGGTGTACAGGATTGGTCTCTTTGCTCTCAAAGACATCAACAGCGGTACTGAACTCACCTACGACTACAACTTCCATTCCTTCAATACTGAAGAGCAGGTGACACACCACTAAATATTTTGACCTCTGTAAACCAGTGATTTTTAAATATTTTATGGCTTACAGAAGCTGAAACAATTTCATGCCTCACTTCACAATTTCTGTCAAATAAGAGTTCAAAGGAAAGCAATTTATTTAAAAACAGGATCCAAATTCAGATTTAATGCATAATGGCTTCAACAAACATTATCATTACTATTATCTGACCTTAATAATAAGTTAACGTAATATTGTTTTCAACTGTTTATCAACTCTTCCTTTTTTTGAAACATATAGTTAATGATTCTTTAATCTTACCATAACCCGTGTGTCGCATACTAAACTGAATACTGATTTCAGTTTTCTTGGCTCGTTCTGTTTGCTTGCCTCTGCAGCAAGTGTGCAAGTGTGGCTCGGAGAGCTGCCGGGGCATCATTGGAGGGAAGAGTCAGCGTATAAACGGCTTGCCTGGAAAACCTGGAGGGGCTCGGCGGTTGGGTCGGTTCAAGGAAAAAAGGAAGTCCAAACACCAACTCAAGAAAAGAGTGAGTGAATAATAGAAACAAAAACAAAACAATTATTGAGAATTATTTTTGTTGACGTCAACTTTTAGACAATGTTTCAAATATGTATCACATTCTAGTGCATTAATTTTATATATATA